AAGTAAACCTGTTCTGAGCTTGTGCTGCACAGAACGTTTCTAACAAATAGCTCGGTTTCGTTTAACTATCAATTGGACAGCGTGGTGTTAACTTGCATAAAGTATGGCTCATCAGGTCCTCATCTCAACTGTTCTCATTTGAATTGTCAACATATCCAATTGTGACGTTTGTGAACATTTTTATAAAAATACGGTCGCAGTAACGTTAAACTCAAATTGAAAAAAAAAAAAAAAAAAAAAGATCACCCAGCCCTACCATGTACTTTCTCTGAGATAAATAGTCAAATTAATTGCATTCACATCCGTCACTCTGACTCATCGAAACAGTAAAGTTCCGGTCTAGAGATATTTAACTTGAGGAAAGTTTCTGTTGGTCTTTATATTTCTCACAACATGCACTGAATACCAACAGCTACGGTCAGGATTTTCATTATAGCATAAAATTTCATATATAGAAGGGAACACATTGACGTCACTATCCTGCCGGAACAACCCCACTCAGCCTGACTGAGTGGCAAAGGATCTGCTGCGTGACTAGATTTAATAGGGGAAACAGCGAAAATGCGACTAAAACTAACAATTTTATCAATTTAAACTAAATGTCGGACTCAATATAGTGTTCCTTACAATTTACTAAAGATCCAGTGATCCATGGATACTGACATGCAGCCAGGAATCGCGTTGCCTGACATTTGTTTTGCCTGATTGACACCGGGGAAAAAGCAATATAGACCTAAACATAAAGTAAATTTGTATAAATACAATATAGGTAGGTCCAAATCTGATTCATCACATTTCAGGGTTATATATAGCATATATATATATATATATATATATATATATATATACATACACACATCTCATCATATCATCCAGCCCTAAAACTTTATAGGTTTTTTTTTGGTCAGTGTTTAAAAAAAAACATCAAATAATGCAGGATATGCAATGATAAATATTTACTTGATTATATATAACAATACAAAATATACGGGTATGGTTTTACACCTAAATTCACTGTGAATTGCAGCGATCCATTTGCTCCTCTTTCTATAGCAGTCTGTAAAAACATACCTCAGATTTTGTCAAATCTAGTTGTACAGTCAATCGCTTTCCCAAATTCCCACTGTATGTGTTTGTTTTTCGCGGCATTACAGCCGCTCAGTCTTTTTGCCACTCACTTTGAGTAACTGCAGTCACCTGGCCGACAGTGACGTGACACATACCCTCTATACCATGGGATCATTGTGGTACTTTTGATCATTAAAAAAAAAAAAAAATGATGTTGGTCACTATTATTTGAACAAGCTGGACTTTTTTTTTACCCTTTAGTGGTCATAAAAGGCAGCATTAGAATACCCCCAGAGTGAGTAGCTTATGAACTAATTTACATTTTAAGGAAGAGTATCCCTTTAAAGTGAGTGTTCTTTTAATTCAGTTTAATTGTCAAACTAGAATGTATCGATCTCGCAACTATCACACACCTTCCCATGATACAAATTTGGAAGTGGACAACAAATTGTGTTTGTGTGCGCATGAATGGAAATTAAATGAAAAGTGTAGTGTCTCAGCAATAAAGTTTTGCCGCATAGCAAGTATGCTTTACCTGCCACTTCTTGACCATGGAGCACATCTTGTCACGGGTGAGGTCCATGCCATGGAAGTTGGTGAGGCAGTTCTTGCCCTGTACGTCTTCTGTGACTAGCTTGAACTTGCGAAAGGCAACCTCATCGTTCTGCAGATCAGCCAGGCTGACCTCGAAAACACGTCCCTTCAGACCATCAGAGGCAATTCCTAGATTACAGTGACAGTGTTAAATTTGCTGTGGTTTCTATTGTTATAATGAACTTAGATTATATGGGAAAGCTAGGTGATCTCACAACAGTAATCATTTTTTGTCTGGGGCTGAAACTAATGTCATTACATATTCACATTGCAATAAGGCACGCATATTGATTTGAATCAAACAATTGAGATGCATAGCATTTATTGCACAGCAAGACCTGCCCTTTCCCAGTAGGGTTAACTAAAAGCTAAAATTTGTGTGGAAACAGACGCCATGAACATAAAAGCACTTACTGGTTCCCTGAGTCCTGGTGACCAAGGTCTTTCCCAGGTTGCGGATGTTGAACATGGCTGGTGCCTTGACATCATACCAGTCCTTCTTGGAGAATGGATCCACACTGCAAGAAAAAACACGCGTGTACTTTTAGGAGAGGGGACGTTACAAGCTGATTTGTATAAAGCAAATGCTAACATCATCTTACATTTACTTTATACAAGCTGATTTGTATAAAGCAAATGCTAACATCATCTTACATTTACTTCGGAAGTGGTGTCTAGAAATATGAAAACTCTAAATTAACTTAAAGCATCCAACACATGTCCCACTGCAAGTCTTAGGTCAGTAGTGTTTGGGGAAACTAGCTAGCGCTTTCAATTGGGCTATTATTTTAGTATTGTCAGTTTATCTTCTTAATTTTTGCTAAAGATAAATATTTTACATAACGTGTAGGACTAGTATATTATAAAAAAACAGTACTAGGACCTAGCAAGCTCTGACAGAGAGTTAACAGAGCACACATAACCGCGCAGGCCACCAGTGAGCCAGTCGGACTAGCAGGACGGCTACATACAATCTTCTATATATCGATCTCATCCTTCACCCACAAACATCAGATATCCAACAGATTATCTTATAACCACATAAAGACAGCGTCGAGAGATTCATTTGTGACTTACATCTTCTTTTTGGCACCTTTTTTGCCACCTTTGGTCAGCCTCTTATTCTTGCCGACTGCCATGTTGAACACAGGGAGTGAAAGAGGAGGAAGTAAGGAAATACCGCGAGAATTAAAGCCACAGCGAGATTAGACATGTCTCGCGATATTTCGCTGTTCTTTCTGTAAAGCACGTGCGCCATCTAGTGTTTAGACTATTGTTTAACTACTTTCGCTGTTTACCTTACAGTGTATTTACATGCTTATTTAACAAAGTTCAATCATTTTTTTTGCAGCGTCCTCTTTAATTCATCATCTGCCAAACAATTTTTTTAGACAGAATTTGAAAACTGTGTTTATCAATAATGAGCGAAATAGGAAGTTTAGTCTAGACCTCATAGGCTAGGCTACTATTAGTGCCCATTTCATTTTTTACTATGTAGCCTACAATGTAAATTACGTCTTTTATATTTACCGTGTCACAAGTCTAAATACACTTCAAAAATAATATAGCGTCAAACGAAAGGGACAAACTGTAGCAGATAAATTCAGAGATAGCTGAGGGCAAATTATGACATCAATCCCCTAATGACATGCACAACAGGAACATTCCACTCTACTAAATCTGAGTGAACTGTGCAGATGACTGAGTTCCATTATTATTTCAAAATATAATCTTCCTCATCTTTCATTATAGACCAATGGCAAAAGCTCACACTTCCCTCACTCATAATAAGCATATTTAGCTAAAATAATATTTTATTTGCACTATCGGCTTTACTACGTACAAGGCTGTTTTAGTAAGAAAACACGTGGAGAAAGAAAATGGTGATAACCATAAGAACAAAAAACATAAGCATTCCATGTATGTGTCTGTGTGGCAGTCTTCAGGATGTCAGTATAAAGTTCAGTGCCTGTGAGATAAATTGATCTTTGTTGCTAGACCTTTAATACTGTGCCCCTGCGGGACTGTATATAGAGTCAACAAAGTCAATGTGCTGCTGACTCCTTGGCAACGACTCAAAGGTCCATGAAACCACACTTTGAATTTAATGATACAGTGAGCACATTTATTCTTAAAGCTATAGCTAAGACATTTCTTAAAATTCGAGACCTCCTTATAGGCTAATGGTCAAGTAAATATTAAAGTTTACACACAATAATGATATGCTACATGTGCTTTGTTATGTGCTTTAACCCTCTGTGAGTGAAAAAATAAAGAATTGTACTCAGTAAATGTACCTTGTCTCACAAATATATTTAAATGGGAGGAAAAAAAAACCCTAATTATTCTTTAAAGTAGTGAAACGGATGTAGTAACAGATTTTATTTTTTGTCTTTATTGCGACATAGCCTACATATGAATGTAACACATTATTAAAAAAAAAAAAAAGGAAGGGTGGGGACTTCCAGGTATTAATTGTTGATTTTGAGATGTGAATGTGAGCTTGCACTATAGACCATTTCACAAGATGTAAACAACACTGGTCCAGAAGCACTTCCTGTTTCAGGTTTTTAACACTACATTACATAGGCCTACATAAAAGCTGCTGGGATAAAATACAACCAACAGAACATTTAAAACTGAATCAAAAAGTTAAACAAACATCTTTAAGATGTTTTCTTTACATGTGAAATAAAGAAAACAGTTACAAACTGAAACAGGAAGTGCTTCTGGACCAGTGTTGTTTACATCTTGTGAAATGGTCTATGTGGACGGGATTTAAAGCAGACTAAATACACATTTAAATATGGATACATAGTTCACAATAAGATCTGCAATATGCATTTACAAAGTGGATGGAGATTAATAGTTTGCATTTTCATTTCATGCTGACTTTAACGGATAATTAACCCAATTCTGTAATTATTTACTCAACTGTTGTTCCAAACCTGTATGCATTTCTTTCTTCTCCAGAACACAAAGACATTTCAACGAATATTGAGGCCCAAACAACACCACTGGCTTTTATTGTATGAGACTGAGAAAAAAAATGTTATGAAAATATTGTTATGAAAATATTGTGCATGTATGCTTTTGATTATAAACAAATCAACATTCAAATCTTGGTATAAACCTCGTTTCTGGTGAATATGCTAGAGTTGTATTTTTCTCTTATGCAGAGCTATCGTAAATCACATCCACAACAGAGCGTCCATGACTCGAGATCTTCAGAATAAAGTGTAAATTTGTCCTTATAAGTTATAGATCCCTTGTACCTGACACACCTGAGCCCCCCCTTCGCAGCGCTCCGTGTGCTATGCGCATGCGCAGCTCTCTCACACGCAGCTCCACTGTCATGGCGGAGACGGAGCGGACTAGGAGCTGATTCAGGAAGAGATGGCGCTGTAAAGTGGGTTACCGCTGAAACTTCACTCCAACAGTTCCCACAGGGAGTTAAAGGATTGTCTTCTCTTTGGAGGGCCCACCGAGAGCCAATGTCGGACGCTCCTTGCTTAATATTTTGTAGTTTTTTTGTGTCTTGTTCTTATCGGTACGTCTACCTGCGCGGAATCTCTTCATCACCGCTGTTTCCTGTTTGACAAACACTCGCAAACACTTAAATTACATTTTTTGTTTTTGTCTTTCCTTTATTAGTCCGACGGAGATTGGCACGTTTTGGGTTTCTTATCTGGGCTCACCACAACGCGATTTCGTCATTCTTTTGTCAAGTTTAATGCTGCTCTCCCTCTCTACCGTAGAATAATTCCTGTTAGTCAGGTGTAGTGACCTCAACAGACACACTGCCGAGAGCGCGAGAAACTAAAGGATAAACTGGCTGTGAATGGAGACCAGGACCAGTTCTCCACAGCTGTCAACTTAACGAGAGCTATAAATTCCGTGTAACGTTATTTTCCCCTAGATTTAATTCGGTGGTAGGGTCAAACAGGTGTTTCACCTGTTCGTCTCTCACCTGACTCCGTCATGGCGAGCGCAGGTGACAGCGCTGTTGGGATCCCCATCAGAGGAATCCGCATGAAGTTCGCCGTGCTGGCGGGGCTCCTGGAGGCTGGCGAAGTCTCCAATCGGGACATTGTGGAGACGATCTTCAATCTGGTAAGCTGATTAAAGCCTTTAAATAGAGAACTAAAAACACCGAAGCTAGACGAGACCGAATCATGTTTATGAGTCTGACGAATCTTTATACAACAGAAAGTGGGGTGTTGTGCTTTAATGTTTAAAATGTAGCTGTTTGGCTTGAATCCCAGTAAGGCTGCTGCTGCTGATGATGTATGTGTGGTGCCCCCATTGTGTGTCCTTGATCAAGACACTATACGTCAGGTTGCATCAAGGGGACTGAACCTGTTAACGTTAAGTGACATGCAATTCAACGTGGATAGAAGCACCTGCCATATATTTGTATAGACTGTACACTATCAGAAAAAATGGCAAAAATGATAATTTTAACTCTAAAGACAAATTTTTGATACATGAATCCTACAGCCTCTAAATTATCAATATGATCAGAAGTTTGCTGAAAAATCGGTTGAATATTCTACATGCTAGAAAAATATTAACTATCAATCTGAGGGTAAGAAAAATGCCTTATAGGCTATATGTATAAAATGTATTATATGTATACAAATACATCTTCAGGTTGTTGTAGGTTAAATACATATTTTTGTTGTGTTGTTGTTGTAGGCTATATACATTTTTTTGTTGTGAAAGCTTTACTGATTTTCTAAATTAAATATAAGTAACTTTTATGTTGTTGTTAATATTTATTCTGGAGTAACGCAACTCTTGGGCCATGAAGACCTCATGTATCAATTATGACAAAACACAAAACGCAAATGCAAACTTTTTTTAGGTTTTCTTTTGTATTTTGTCTAAAGGTTTGATGATCTCTTCCATTTCAAAAATGTTATTTGTCTGCCTATTATTGTGATGTGATATGTAATGCTTTACAAGGTTAAAAGGAACATCTATGTACCTTACCCTAAAATGTTCATTGTAGTACGTACCAATATGCCATTTTGGTACAACACCTTTTTGGTACAACATTGTCCCTTTGGTACTGCCCCATTGCTTAAGACACAAGACACATTTTTTTAAGACGCGAATTTTTTTTAAGCTTAAGACACACATTTTTTTCTGACGGTCTGTGTTATTTATCTACCCAAATACCACTACAAGCAAAGGTGTGGTGGTAATACTCTGCATTTGAAAACACGCACACAGACACACTCATCTCCCTGCTCATGTCATTGACAGACCTTATGTGAAGCTTTTATCCATTAATCCATTAATCCAGGAACCTGGTTTGATTTTTCAGCATTGACCTAATGTTCAACCTCCTTGAAATTATGTCAGTCCTCTGTCAGCATTGTCTTACAGTTTCCATAGATTATATATGATACAAAAGCTTCACAGTTCACAGATCACCTCAACACAGCTCCATGATGTAATATCGGCTCATCTCTTTTGACCAGCCCCAGACACGAGGAAGTCAGTTAGCACTTTCTGGAAATTGCACACTTTTTTTCCCCTCCTCCTACGTCCACAAGTGAGTTGAAAGCCCTGTTATACATTAGCTGCGTTTCAAGCATGAGTGAAGGCCTGTATGTGACCCACATTAGCTGAATCAGATTGGTAGAGATTTTGTTATCAGGTCTGTAGTGTTGTGAAATGACATTGAAGAATGAATGAATGAATGAGTGCAATAAGGAAGTGCAAGAAACATGCTGCAACCGCGCGCTTTATGATGATGTAATATGCTGAGAGACAGAAGGCACACTAGACATCATAGGTGACATGTAGACATGCAGCTATGTTACTTTTACAGAGCTTTAGAACTGAATGCAGTCCGTGCTCTTAAAGGGATAGTTCACCTATTGTAAAGTGCAACATTTGAATTCTGTCATCATTTACTTACCCATATCTTGTTTTTAAATCTGTATGAATTAAGATATGTTTAGCAGAATGTATGAACTTCTCTGTCATATGGTGAAATTGGAAGGGGACCAGAGGCTGCCAAAAAAACTACCATGAAACCATCATAAAGATTATTTCAAGCCATATGATGGCTCTGTATGAGGAATAGACTGGTATTTTAAACCATGGAATTTTAATCTTGAATGACACTAAAGAGGTAATATCATGAGGCATATTTAATATTCTTTCATCTTTTATAAAGTGCTTGATGTATTTGGACTGTGAAACATTGTGTCAAAACATTATGACATCTTGAACATAACATTTAAAACAAAATTACAAAAGTGCCCCATTAATAACTTCTGCAGCTTTGAGACGTCACAGTTAGAATTCAATAACGCACAACTGCATGTTCACGCACTGAAGTTTATTTTGTAACAAGGTCTGGTCATTTCACTCTAATCTTAATAGTTTAAAGGCATTTTTCAGTGTTCAATGCAGATTGTTTTAATGTTGTGGCTGCTTATAAAGGATGTCGGAGTTAAAAACTATATTTGACATGACAGCAAACTGTTGAGAGATTACCATATGACATCCCTCAGTCAGCACAGTTGCTCATTTCACACACAAAGGGGAGGTTTCTTAAAGCTACAGCTAGACAAAATGGATCATTTCATTTTAAAACTTAACTAGAGGATGCTCAAGAAAACACAGTTTTGGTGCAACTAACAAATATATAAAAAAATCATGACCCATTTAATCTGCCGGACCAAACGAAACTAAGTCTTTGATTCATCTCCATCTTCACAAAATTATGTATTGGAGCATGGAAGCAAAATAATAAGCTGTTTTGCCAGGTTTGTTTGATTTGCTGTTTGAGTTGAGTTGTGGTTGTTGTGGCCATTTTATCATCTAGTAAAACGGTGTCACTTTCGTTTTTTTTTTTTTGTTCCTAGTATTTTGCATGTCATTGTGTCTGTAACGAGGTTAGCGTTCATAGAAGAAGCAGGCAGGAACCGGCCAACATTCATCACACTTAAAATAAACATAAAACTAATTGGCAGCCCCTCATGGACAACTGCTTGCACACACATAAACAAAACATAACGTAAATAGTCCAGGCCTGGTCCTCTCTCATCCTACACTATCATCGCTCCTCCTTTTTTATTCATGGAGAACTGCATGCTAATTAATCTGTCTATCTTGCTTTCTCTATAGTTCATTTGCTGTGAGTCTTGGACTCAGATCAGAGATCACTGCCTGAATAATCTTCTTCAACAGAAAAAAAAAGTACAAAGCGATGAGAGCAACGCTCTTGTTTTGACAATATGTCATTTGTAAATCTGCACGAGGTTTATTAAAGCATAAATGTGTATTCAGCTCATTAAAATCCACTTATTCTTGTTCAAACACACTTTAGAAGCTCATTGAAACAGTATCATCTCTTGTATTTCCATCAGTCACTGGGGACTGGAAGTGGTTTGGTAGCACAGCGCCGGTTAGCCCAAAGTGAGGGCTGAACAAACAAGCATGGGACCTGTCTTTGTTACCATGGTTACCACAAGAGCAGGTGACCAGCCTACTCTCACCTGTCTGTACAGGTCCTGACTTGTAGGAAGTAATTCCCAATTCTGGCTTATTTGTGACTGTATTGTTTTACAAAACTCAGGGCTCTAGACAAACATTTGACTTCTGCGGATGGTGGCAGCAGCTCCTGATTTGGTTGCACTGCTGCACATGTTAATAGGCCTTTAAAAATATTGCTTTTTTTGAAATGAACATTTGACAGAAGCTGAAGATGACCGTAGCTTCAGTTTGTGCTTGAGTTGGGATGCGGATAAAAATGCATTTCATTCACAAAAACAGTAACAGTAAGCATTTTAATGTAAAAATGAAATATTCTGACTGTATCTAGTCTTATTGAAAATTAATCATTGGTATTAAATAGTGTCATTCATTTGTAGAGCACGATAACCACTGGTAAAACTATGCATAAAAAGTAACTATATGTAGACGGTGCTGGCAAAATGTGTCGCAATAAGCAAATTTTCAAAAGGTTAATTGTTAATTGTAATTAATTGTTAATTGTAATTGTTAATTGTTATTTTCACATTCAGAATCTTCAAAAGAATCTTCAAAATGATGCATGATTTGTTAAATCAAACAAATAATTACTGAGCTGCACCTGTTTGAAGTCAATAGAGTCAGCAAAGTCAATTTTTATAAAAATCAAGTTAAAATTTTGTGTACATAGGTTCCAAAACAAAGTCACCTAGCAAGCAAACATACCTCGAAATCCCTTGTAATAGACGGTAATACCACCAAATTTGGCAAACACCAAGTCAAAACCAAATATTTGGTTTTCTTTCTTGGTTAAATAAAGGTTATTTCCTATTTATTTATTGGAAAAATATGTTTTCAACATTTTTTTTTCCCACAATACCACAATTGTTTGATTAACATTAATGAAAATGACAGCCTAAGATGTACTGTACCGGACAGATCTAAAATAATTTTACACATCAGATATTTTCCTCAATAGTTAACCAAAGGTTCACATAAGACATAGCCTAACAGATAGTCTTGTGTGAATACTCGCCAAGACATATTTTAAAATCCCTGTGTATGTGTATCTATTGGGATCGCACTCTCTCTGGTCTTTGTGCGCACGCTTCGGATCTGTCAGTCAGTGCGAGTAAGACATCGTTTTTTCATTGACCGTAAACCGTATACTTAAACAGTAGCCTAAAGACATACAAATACACAAAACAAAACTAACAAAAATACTGTAATCCCATTCCTCATTTAATGCATGTATTACATGTCTACATTAATAGTTAAAGGGTTAGTTCACCCAAAAATGAAAATTCTGTCAGTATTTACTCACCCTCATGTTGTTCCAAACCACTATGTGTTTATTTGTTCTGCTGAACACAAAGGAAGATATTTGGAAGAATGTTGTAAACAAACAGATCTCGGAACAACATGAGGGTGAGTAAATACTGACAGAATATTCATTTTTGGGTGAACTAACCCTTTAATAAAATTTGATGTAAATATCCCACATATCTGTGTACAGTTACCATGGTTACAGTTAGTGCTACTACAGTAAATCCTTGGGAAATGCTGGTGATTTGTGGATTGAAAAGCCTTCTGGATTGTTGAGGGACAATGTTTCTCTT